CTGCCCACCCCCACTAACACATGCTGTACTCTCTGGAGGGCACTATACTCAGCCCGCACTTACAAACTGGGAGTTATGTTCCCTCCCCTTGAGGATGGAGTATCTACATTCTGTGTGGGAGATTTATCTTTTCTCCCCATTTCTTTTTCATGTATAATCCTTTAGGTTACGACCCAATATTCCTTTACTTAGTTTGTTGGTAGAAGTTTTCCAGGTTTGGCCACTGGGAGCTCTTTCAGTTGGCCCCTGTGCCCTCGGACATACCTCAGCCTGGGTGTGTGTGTGGTGTGTTTGTTTACGGAAGCACTTCCTCACTTTCTGGCACTGTGTGATGCTCCGGGCTCCTCTTGTACACGTCCTGCCCGGTCCTAGAATCAGCCACTTCTCCGTGGTTCCGTTTACTGGAGAATGGTATTAGAAACCAAGATCTGGGTACTAGGGGTGCTCATTGTTAGGCAGCGTCATTGCTTCTAGCACCTCTTTGCTGACAGAGAAAGGAAATCTATGCACGTGTACTAACCCGAGTGTATACACATATCTATACATATTATATGGAATCATCTGCATCTATATTAAGCTAAGCACGAGTCCCATACTGGTATCTCTAGTTCTAACCCATTACCACATGCATCATTCTAGCCTCCTCCTGAGGGGTCATTTTTACCACAGCAGTGTTGCCTAGTAACATAGTGGACACATGTTTATCTGTTTCCAAGGAAACAGTGCTAGACAGTTAACTAAAGGTATAATTCTCACACAAAAGAGGGAAAGATTTTAACCCTTCACTCTCACTGATCAGTGGCTACTCACTGCTCTGAGGACAAAGCGGGACCAGAGCCAGGTGATCTGCAGGTGCCACCTAGATGGCAGTTGCAAAAATCAGGGCTCTAGCCCTGATTGGTGTGGCTCAGTTGGTTGGGCACTGTCCCACAAAGCAAAAGGTCACCAGTTCAATTCCCAGTCAGGGCACATGCCTGGGTTGCGACTTCATCCTGGTCAGGGTATGTATGAGAGGCAACCCATCAGTGTTTCTCACACTGATGTTTCTCACCCTCTCTTTCTCCCTCCCTTCCCCAATCTCTCTACAAATAAAGAAATTATATATATATATATATATATATATATATATATATATATATATATATTTAAAAGATTGTATTTATTTTTTTTAGAGAGGGAAGGGAGAGAGAAAGAGAGAGAGAGAAACATCAATGTGGGGTTGCTGGGGGCCATGGCCTGCAACCCAGGTATGTGGCCTGACTGGAAATCAAACCTACGACACTTTGGTTCGCAGCCCACGCTCAATCCACTGAGCCATGCCATCCAGGCCTAGAAATAAAATATATTTTTTTTAAAAATCAGGGCTCCAGATGACTGGATAAGCTCTTTCTTGGGTGATGATGCTGATGAGCTGCAGCAAGGCAGAGGGAGAGTACCAAGAGTGCCAGTGAGATGACATATATATATATATATATATATATATATATATATATTATATCATATATATATATAATATATATATTATTATAATATATATATTATATTATATATATAATATATATATAAAATATATAATATATATATTATATTATATATTTTATATATATATATATATATAATATATATATGACCAAACAATCCGATTTAAAAACGGGCAGGAGGTCAGAGTGAACATTTTTCCAAGAGGACATACAGATGGCCAACACACACACATATGTGAAAAGATGCTCTACATCATTCATCATCAGGGAAATGCAAATCAAAACCACACAGATGATCACCTCACACTTGTTAAAATAATAAAAAAGTCAAGAAATAACACGTGTTGGTAAGGATGCACACTGTTGGTGGGTATGTAAGTTGATACAGCCTCTATGGAAAATAAGATGGAGATTTCTCAAAAAATTAAAAGTAGAACTACCATATGGCCCAGCAATTCCACTCTGGGTATGTAGGGGAAGAAAACAAAACTAATTGGAAAAGATACTACACCCCTGTGTTTCCTGTGGCATATTTACAACAGCCCAGACATGCAAACAACCTCAGTGTCCATCAAAGGATGAATGGATAATAAAACTGTGGCACAAATATATTTTGTTTATATTATACAAAAATAGAAATGGAATATTATACACAATGGAATATTATTCAGCCATGAAAAAGAATAAAATCATGTCATTTGTGACAACATGTATGGACTTGGAGAGTATTATGCTAATTGAAATAACTCAGATGAAGAAATACAAATACCATATAATCTGTCCTATAAATCAATCAATCAATCAATCCAAGCTCATAGATACAGAGAACATATTGGTGATTGTCAGAGGTGGGGGTGGGGAGAAATGGGGTGAACTGTTTGTTTTTTAGTTTAAATAAACTGAAAAACACAAAACAAAGCAAAAAATGTTTGGCAGGATATTCCTAGTGGGAAGGAGAATTTTGAGGTCCGCCATGAAGGGGAAATGCATGGCTGCTGAGGCTAAAATGTGTTTCTTTACAGGAAGACTCCGCAGAGCCTTGAAGGCCAATATGCAAATCTCCAGCAGGGGAACAAATTATTCAGCATTTCTCAAATTCACTTGACCCCCAAACTCATGTTTTACAAGGTTCCCCTCTCTACTTATGGAAGTCACAGACGAAGTCTACAATGTAGTTCCTGTCTTTCCTTCAAGGAGAACATGATCTTGCTGGGGAAGCAACGCTTGTAAAATACATGTGCACAAAGCAATGACTGGCGTGTCACACAGCACAGCAGGATCTGAGGTAAATGGGCAGTCAGGGAAGGGAAGATCAGTGTGGTCTGAGATGCCTGGAGCTGGATGGCAGGAAGGCTATAATTCAAGCTGGGGCTTGAATAGACAGGGCAAAGGAAGCGGGGGGGGGGGGGCAAGCACAGAGGAGTGAGTGAGCGAGGAAATGGGTGGGCAGCCTCGCCTAAATCGGACTTTTCATTTGTTCAGATAGACCAACCGAGGAGGTTTTACTGGACAATCCATACACGCTTGAAATTATCAACTACTTTTTCAATGTCTTCTTTTTAGGCTCAAATGGTGACTAGTAATTCATTCTGGACTAGCTTTTCTTAGGAGAAAATAATGTCCATAACATTATGGACATTATGGACATAACATTATGTCCATAACAGAAACATGTCGAATGCACATCAAGAGAGGCTCCGGTGGTACCGCAGACGGCCGGAAGTGCTCTGTTCTTCCACATAGCTGCACCTCCTCCTCCATGGCCCTCAATCCCAAGAGCTCTGAACACTTGGAGTTCTTCCTCCCAACTCACTTTGTGGCAATATCTTTTCCGAACTGATAAGAGGCTACTTATATTCTTTATCTAGCCCACTTACTGTGAATATCCATTCATTTTGTGACACTACCCTAGACCACTGGAGGGTCCTGTAAATTGCAGTGTATATATCATGTCCTCTCTAACCCGAGACTGTGGACCTATAATTCTTATGTATTCCCTAGGATTATGCTGTAGGTGAAAAAAGGTGTTTGCTGTGTACCACGGCCTATGGGTGACTCTGCTTTAAAGGGGAAAAAATAGGTGCTCAATAAATATTTGCTTATTGTCTCCGTTCTCCATTCTCCATTCAGTAAATAGTTACCGAGGGCCTCCTGTGTATTATTGGCTCCTTTTCTAGTCTCCTGGGATACAGCAGAGAGGGAAACAGGTAAAGCCGCTGCCTCCCTGCAATCATTTTAAGTAGGAGTAACAATAAACAAAGATAAGCTAATGTCAGGAGTTGATCCACGCTATGGAGGAAAATTCAGAGTTAAGGAGTAAAGGGGGCTGGACAGTGTTATTTTTAAAAGAATGGTCTGGGAAGGTGTCTCCGAGCAAGGAGTTGAAGGAGGTAAGAGAGTGAGCTCTGGGGATATCAGGATGAGGAGTGTCCCAGGCAGGAGGAAGGGCACAGGCGGTGGCTGAGGCAGGACTGTGCATGAATGGGGGGGGGGGGGGGGGGGGGTGGGGGGGGGGTGGGGCGGGGCGGGACTGCCAGTGCTTTATAAAGAGCATCTTGTCTAATCCCATAACCCTTACCAAGCCCACTTCACGGATGAGGAGCCTGAGCTCTGAGAGGGGAGCCTTTCGCACAAGGCCACACAGCTGTGAGTGGTAGAACTGGGACTCACTCCCGAGTCTGCTGCCACAGCTAGTGGCACCTTCCAAGTCCCTAACAACAGGCCTGGCCTCTGGAAGGCAAGAAGAGACTGAAGCCATCCCAACCTTGGAGGTCCTGCCTGGGTTTTGTCTCCTTGAAGGGCCAGACATGTGGCTTCAGAGCGGCCTCCGCTCTCCCGATGGTTGAGGACTGCCCAGGCCTTTGGAGCAGGGCAGGTCCAATAAGGTGGCTTGAGGTGCCAGGACAGCGCCCCTCCTCTGCGTGTCCTTCCAGACGGCTGACCTCCTCTCAAAGCCCTGGGAGCCTGCGTTTTCACAACCTCATTTGCAGGGGCGAACATTGAAGCTCACAGAAGCAAGAGGACTTACCTGAGAACACACAAGTGGCCACGGAGTTTTCCCAGGAACCCATGATCTTCAGACCAAACTTCACTTTGGACTTGGCCATGGCCCCAAAAGGGGAGTGTCTCTTTAACTCTTGTGCTCCGGGCACCTTACTTGATTCACTTTGATCCGGGCCCTGTACAGGAAAGACGCAGAGTGAAAGTCACCCTACCCACCGCGTGTTCACCCACATCTACCGCGCTGGGCTCCGGGGGACCAAGAGAGCACTTTTCTTAGGCTGTGCACTAGCTGTCCCACTGAGAAAGAAGAGCGGAGGAGAAGGTGGGGGTGGGGCTGGCGAATAGGGGGCGTTCGTCAAAGGCTTTCGTTCAGCCTTCAGGTGGCGCCCTTGAGCTACGGAACCTCTCGAGTCCTAGAAGACCGTCCGGACCTATGGACCTGGGACGTACCTGGGGGCCATGTGTGTAGGGCGAGAGCGGGGAGGGCTAGGGCGGGAAGGCGGCGTCAGAGCTTGTTGCAGTCCGGACTCTCCCACGGAGGAGACCAGCAGGCAGCGTGGGAGGGGTCTTCTTCAGCACACACTCCCCAACGCCTCGCCCTTGGGCCAGGGCAACTCGCGCTCGAAGCTTCAGTTTCCCTAGCCCGCAGATCAGCCCTAAGAGAGAGGGAGAAGGATGGAGCTATGGCCCCCCACCCTTACCCCAGTCTGTTACCCGCCTCCCAGTCCCTCCCCACGCTAACTCTCCGGGCGTCCTCGCTGGCTGCGGGCGGAGCTCGGTCCGCCGCGCTCCGCGATCCCCGGCTCCCGCCCCTTTCCTCGTCCCTCCTCCCCGGAGCCCCCCAGCGGCCCCGGCCGACGCCGTGTAGCCCCGCGCGGCTCCAGCAGGTACGTGCGCCTCGGCAGCGGCTCTGCGCGGGGCCGGGAAGGGGGCGGGAGCTGGGGAAGGAGAGGCGGTGGCGGCCGGGCCCGCGCCCTCCCGGGCTGCGCCGCAGCTGAGACACCGGCGGGCGGGCGCCGGCTGCAGGGAAGCGGGTGGGCGCCGGTGAGGACGTGCCCTCGCCCTGGTCCGCCGGCCTCCCGGCGCGGAGCTGCCCGTGTGGGGAGGCCGGGAGGGAGGCCCGGCACAGGTACCCACGAGGAGAGGGGACTGCGGGGGTGGCGGGAGGCGGAGGCCGGAGGCGGGGAGGGGCTACCACGGAGAGCTAGTCTGACCTCGCGGCCCGGCCGAAGGACACGCGGCGAGGGGACCAGGGCGCACGCCGGTCCTCGCGGAGCCTGGCCTCTCAGGGCCGCCTGACCACCTAGCTACCGGCGTCGCCTGGCTCGGTCCAGCCTGACCCGGCCCGGCCGCGTTTGTGGTCAAGGGCAGAACCAGGGGGTGTGAGCAGCGGGCAGGCTGGCGCGCGGGTGCGGTGGGCAGCCGGGTGTTGGCGCTTCCTGCGCGGAACTTTGGGTGTAACAGCGTGGACCTGCGTATGCGTGTGTGCGCGCCCCAAGGCTTTGTGTACAACTCGTGCGTATATCTGCCGGTGGGGTTCTGTGAAGCTTCACCCACGCCCGCCGTGTTTCTGTCTTTCCGCGTGCTAGTGCTTAGTGCGCGCTGGTGGGTGAGGTGCTGGGCCCTGGTGGCACTTGGTTGGTCTGGCTTAGATCTTCGCAGTCCTAGGGGCAGTTAACTGTGTGTGTGTTTGTGTAACCAACTCTGTCCCTTCTGGGTGTGGGTATCAGTGTGGTCCGCTAATCTGCAGTCACGCTGCGTGGCTTCCTATGTCTGTGGGTGCTGCATGTGGAAACGACCCCTGGGGGGGAGGCAATGTAGAACTGACGTGTGCCTTTCAGATCCTGTTGAACTGCAGGTGAAATTGTGGTGTCACGGGTACAGTCTCAGGGTGTGAGCGTGGACTCCAGCATCTTTGTCACTTTGTATCTCCTTATGTTTTGGGTAAGTGACTGGGCATGCCTGTGTAACTGTGGATATCTCTGAACCTGTGTGTGAGACAAGGCAACCCTGGGTGAGAGGGAGTCTCCTTTCTCTCTGCGCTCTTCCTTACTCTGGCATCCTAAGGAAAAAGTTTTGGGTTCCTGCTGGTGAAGGAGAGCCCCACTGCCAGAATTTGGGTGCCCTGGTTTCCTTGGGAATACCGAGGCTCAGCATGTGGAACTGGGCAGGGGGTTCCCGGGCCACTCTAGGAGCTGCATTCTCTGGAGAGTGCTGCAAACCTGGGGGTGGCGTGGGGTGTGGGGGTGGGCACATCTGGACACCCATGGGCAGGAGCTGTCACTGCCAGTCCCTGTTAGGGGCTGGACAGGAAAATGCTTTTGGTGCCAAAAGTAGAAAAAGTCAAACACATAGCTCTCCCTTTGATTTACTGGGAGTGGGAGCAGCCCCCGAAGGGTCTGGTCTTGAGTCAGCCTCCCCCACCCCTTGAGTGGGAGTGCTTGTCTGCCAGGGCTGCCAGGGCGAGTTGCCAAGCCACTCCTGGGGGCTGCCTGTGATCCAAGCCCAGTGCAGGGGGCTGGGGACCCGGATGGAGTTCACACATATCCCTGCCCTCAAGCTGCTCACAGTGGCATCAAACAGTGGGATAAAGTAGAGTCTAGAGTGAGGGCTGGAGGGAGGGTGGAGCGATGCCCCTAATGCAGGAGTGGGTGGGTTTGCAGGCTGGGAGGTGGTCACAGTCCTTAGGGAACCTGCATTCACCTTCGTGTACCCACATGCACACCAGAGGGCCCTGGCCGAGTTTTGTCAAATGGAGATAGTAATTCCTGCTCTCTGGGCTGGCGAGGGTTATAGGAGATATTCCCGAGGAAGTCCCCGCTCTAGGGTGCAACAGGGAGTGTGGGTGCTTAGTAAACATTTATTAAATTGGAACTCGGGAAAGAGGGATGTGGTGGTAGAGATGGGTTGGAAGTGGAAACGGGCTTTGTACTCAGATGAAAGTCCCAGTGTGTGCTAAGAGGAGGTGTCCAGTGCAAGTCCGTGCTGGCAAAAAGATCACAAAGATCAAAATACGTGCCTTCCTGCACCGAGGTTCTTTGAATTCCATTCATTCATTTCATTAATTTTCCCCCTCATTAATTTACTCATATTCTCTCTCTCTCTCTCTCTCTCTCTCATACACACACACACACACACACACACACACACACACACACACTGCAAGGAACTACGATGCACTAGAGAATAAATTCAGGCATGAGGGTGTAGAGAAATATGGAGAATCATGTGTGCGTGTGTGTGTAGACACAACAGCGTGTGGCCACTCTGCACCTGGGGGTTCTCTGCACAGAGTGGGGCTTGGATCTGTGTGCCAGGGCCCTGGGTGTGCATGCTCCCAGGACATGGGTGTGCACGGGAACACAGGAGTTCCGCTGCCAGACGAGGTACTTGACATGCCAGGGAGGGAAGGGGCTGAGGTGGGACCTGTGGGGGACAGCGCCGGACCTGCCCGTGGCAGGACTCCATCGTCAGGTCCAGCTGAGTGTTGTTGTAGGGACAGGGCCTGCGGGGGAGGGGGGGCAGGGCGAGGTGCCTCCATTTTGTAAGAGAAGCCAGGAATGCAAAGCTTAAAGTGTAATATATATATTGCACTTTGGTTATATATATTTGGGGTGTGTGTGTGTGTGTGTAACCAAAAACAAATGAACAGATCAGAAACAGACTTCTGTGAGCCAAAGGTGGCACATGGGCTATGAATTGGTACCCTCCCATCCCATCTCCCCTTCTGCAGTCCTCATCCAGGTTCGCCTTCCTCCACCGCCCCCTCCCCCCCATCTTCTTATATACATGAAGGCATTTGACTTGACCTCAGTTTGGCTCTCAAATACTCTCCTTCCTCCCAGTCTCCATCCACGTCGCCCTGACCTCATCAGCTTCCTCCCCGGACGCCTGGCCTCCTCACAGCAGCCAGAGAGAGCGTTCTGAGATTAGGTGGCAGCCGGCACTCCCTGCCCCAACACTCACCTCCCTGGCTCCTTGGCCTGGCTGTCAAGTCCTTTGAGAGTCTGTCCCAGGTGACCTCTGAGGTACCTGGTCCCCCTGTCCAGAATGCCTGCGTCCACTCTAACTGCTGGGTTCCCACTCACCGCCTCAGATCTGGTTCAAATGCCACCACCTCCCAGAACCTTCCCGGACTGTCTCCTCTTCGTTCCCATGCCACCTCCACCACCCCGACCCCTCCCCGCTCACAGCCATCCTCACGGCGTCACAAGAGTGTGCATTACTTGAACTGGCTGGGGCCTTCCATGCATTGTTTTATGAAATCCTCACATTATCCCAACGAGGGAGGCATTTTGCTTATTCCCATTTAACAGATAAGAAAATCGACTGTGGAGCGGTCACATCACTTGCCGAAGCTCAAGTGGTAAAGCTGGGACTTGAACCTGATACCTACTGTGTTTAAGTTCCCTCCATCATAATAATAACTCATTGCTGGTACTTTCTGAGCACTTACTGTTATGAGTTCTTTATGCGGTTCATCTCAATCTCAACATCAGCCCATTACGTGGGAAGTGGTAGCAGTAATGCCATTTAGTAGATGGGGAAACTGAGGCCCAGAGGGGATATGCGAATGGCCCAAAGCCACATGCCCGCCAGTGGTGGTGCAGGATCCTGGCACGGATTGGCTCACACTGCTGTCTGTGTGCTCTTCCCCACCTCCCCCTCTGTCTGGCGGGCTCCCCTGGGTGGGAGCAGTGCCTGACTCGTCTGCACACCGCTCGGGGCCTGTGTGCTGTCCAACACCAGCAGGGCCTTGGGAGAAGTTCACTACATTCGACTGACGTTCTGTTTTCTCTTCCAGCTGCCAAGGGGCCAAGGGATGAGCTGGGGCCCTCCTTCCCAATGGCATCCCCCCCTGGGCTGGAACTGAAGACACTGAGCAACGGTCCGCAGACCCCAAGGAGACCAGCTCCTCTAGGCCTTGGGGCCCCATCCAGGGAGGGTGTGGAGAATGCCTGCTTCTCCTCAGAGGAGCATGAGACCCATTTCCAGAACCCGGGGGTCATCAGACTGGGCAGCTCTCCCAGCCCCCCCGGGGGTGTCCCCTCAAGGCCCCGATCCCAGCGGGATGATCTGTCCCTGCATTCGGAAGAGGGGCCAGGCCTGGAGCCCGTGAGCCGCCCGGTGGATTATGGCTTCGTTTCTGCTCTGGTTTTCCTGGTGAGTGGGATCCTCCTGGTGGTGACAGCATACGCCATTCCCCGTGAGGCCCGCATCAACCCGGACTCCGTGACGGCGCGGGAGATGGAGCGACTGGAGATGTACTACGCCCGCCTGGGGTCCCACCTGGACAAGTGCATCATCGCGGGCCTGGGGCTGCTCACAGTGGGCGGCATGCTCTTGTCGGTGCTGTTGATGATCTCCCTGTGCAAGGGCGAGCTCTACCGCCGGCCGACCTTCGTCCCCGGCAGGGGCTCCAGGAAGACATACGGCTCCATTAACCTGCGCATGAGACAGCTCAATGGGGACGGGGGCCAGGGCCTGGTGGAGAACGAAGTGGTCCAGGTCTCAGAGACCAGCCACACCCTGCAGGGGTCTTAAATAAGAGCCCGCCTGATCTAGCTGCTTCAGCTCCAGGGCTGCAAGCCCCAAAGGCCACGGGTTTTAGACTGAGCTCCACACAGGGCCCTGGGGAAAGAGTCTTAAGTGCTGGAAGGGGAGTCGGGGGCCTGGCTCAGGCTCCACCATGCAGGGCAGCCCCCTGGTCTGTTTTGTAGCTTCAGGTTTTGCATAAGGTTTTGTTTGGAGGGTGGCTTCCACTGCTAAAAACACAGAAGATCGGTAACTGCTGCCCTTGGAGGATGAGGTTTCTTCGCAATTCTCAGCACTGAGAGCAGTTTGAAAGGCTGCCCATCCTCTTCTTTATGCCTCGGGGAATTCTGGGATCTCTGGAGTCCTCATCAGCAAAGGATGGGTGTTAGGTGCCTTTGGAGGAGTCCCTTTCGGCCCTGACCATCTAAAGTGGGGGATAGCTTCACCATGAGGGAAGTAGTCAGCACCGGGGTGACCATCCCCTCTCCGGGCCAGTCCCCCTGACTAAAAGTGAGGGTTGTACTGGACCGTCCCTTGGGCTCTCCAGGTCAGCCCTGGGAATGGGTGCCCAGTATCTGCTTCTGGCCACCTTTTTGAGGGGAGAAGGGTGTCTGGCAGGAGCTCACCATTCTCCGTGCCATAACCCGGCCTGGCCTCGGTGGCCGCCAGTGTCAGACAGCTGGCAGCTGGCACTCCTGCTGGAGTTCCCTAGGTCTCCCGGTGATGCCGGGTTAAATCCAAAATTCAAGATTTTGGTCTTGGGGTGAAATTTCCTGCAGTGACTAGGTCTTAGCACACATTTCACAAAGTCAAGTGCACAGTTTTCAGCAACTCCCGTAACAAGAGGGGTCTTTTACACCAGGAGGGGCGAGGGCTGTGTTGTGTTTCTGTGGATGCGGCGTGGGCCTGCACCCTCACCCCTCCTCCGGAGTGTGTCTCTTGTGCCTGACTTTCTTCTGATGGCAGAAAAAACAAATGTTTTTTTGTTTTTTGTTCTGAATTTGTAATGTCTCCTCCCCCATTCTTTGCAACAAAGTGCAGTTCCAGAATATGTGGGGAGAAATCAGGCACATTTGGGGGGCCTGGAGACTCCAGCCACATTGATTGCGGTATGTTCTGTTTCTGTTGGGGAGTTTCCAGGCTCCATCCAGACTCTTTTTAAACTTCTGGCAGGGAGAGAAAGTGGGTTCTAGGGGGCAAGGAGATACAGGTGTCTGAGGACTGGGGGACACATCGTCCACTCTGAATGGCCCTAGAAGGCATTGAGAGTACAAGCCTTCTAGACCCTAAAGGAGTCATTTCCGTGAGCCCCCGACTCCGTGCAGGTCCTACTCACTCCACCTCAGCGGGCCTCGTGGGCCGTGGATCCTGACTGTCCGTTGGGGTTGGAGGGGCGGGTGGGCATGGGGTGTGTAGGCTGGAACAGCCCCCGTCCGAGCTGTAACCTGAGCCTTCTGTCTGGTGAGCGAAACATCTGGGCAGTGCACCACCGCAGCTCCTAGGACCGATCGAATGTCTGCTCCTGCTGCAGGTTTTACCAGAAGCACAGGGCTGGGGGAGGGCTGGAGGGGACGAGGGCTGTCCGACTTGGCCCGCCAGGTGCTGTTCCTGAGGTCCAAGGGATGTGGTTTGGAAAGAGCAAAGCTTCAAGATAGCAAAAGAGTCACAAGTCAGGGCTTCCGCTGCGGCATCAGTTTCTCACGGGCTCCGAACGGGGAGCAGGTGCAGGGAGTGGCACGGGCCGCTCCAGGGGAGCCACAGCGGAATCGCACATCCCAGACGATGAGCTGAGGCCCTTCAAATTCATAATGATAATAAAAGTATCCACCCAAGCCATCTGGATTACTGTGGTGGTGGGGGACTCCTTTGAAAACTAAATCTGTTGGGTGGATGCATCTAGGACCATCAATTCCTATAGTTTAAATGCAATGAACTGTATTTAGGGACTAAATCAGGAGATCAAGTCCCAGGTTTTCGCTAAGTCAGAGAAGCCCACTCTGCATCCTAACACAGAAACTCCTCTAGAAAATGGGCACAGTGGATGGAGGCAGTCATTCCCTTGCTAGTGAATAGAGAAAACTAGGAGTTGCCAAAAGCATTTCCCCAGGATTGCAGCTGGAATCCCCGTCAGCAGGTGAGAAACGGGGTGAGGGAGGAGTCAGGGAAGAGAGTGGCGTAGGGTATGGAGAACTTTCTTTGCAGGTCTTTTATGGGTGTAGGTGTGGGGTGGTCCCACAGGACCCTCTGGTCTCTGGGACGTGCTTCACCTCCAGGAACTGACTTTTCCACCAGACGTGCTACGAGGGTCCCCAAATCTTGCTTCTCCTAGTATATTAGAGCAGAGATCAACTTGAGAGTTGGGAGAACCCTGGTTCCAATTCAGGCTGTGCTACTTACTGGCTGTGTGACATTAGGCAGGTTACTCCACCTCTCTGGGTTGTGGAGAGGAGTGGAAGCTCGGGCTCAGGGCCGGCCTGCGGTGCCAGAGGTGAGATAGAGACCTGCATGGAATGAGGTCAGTGTCAAGGACGGCTCCCCTTCCCCCACTCAGCTGGAGACACCCGGACTAGGCCTCCAGCCTCAGGTCAGCCGTCTGCCTTTCTTCTCTCACACCTGGCATCCCACCCATCAGCAGATCTCGGTTCTGTCTTGGAAATCTGACCACCGCCCGCCCTCTGCCCCCAGTCCATCCTCCACTCTGCGGCCAGGCGAGTCCTCTTAAAGGGCTAAGTGGGGCAGGTCGCTGCTCTGCTCGGTGCCCTCCGAGGGCTCCCCCTCCCTCCAGGCAGAAGCAAAAATTCTTGCCCTGGCCAGAGGGGGGTTTACAGTGCAGGCCCCCTCACCTGCCTTGGCCCCTCCCAAGGCCTTGCGTCAAGTTTTTATTTGTAACTTTGATTTTTACAAAATGGGTGTCCCTCTAAATTGTGTGGATTTTGGGTCCCCCCATGCCTGGGTCAACCCCTCACGGTGGCCTATAAAGCCCTTAGCAATACGGCCCCTGGGTCTCCCTGACCTTGTTTCCCACCCTTGCCCCTTGGCTCGCTCCACACCAGCCACACTAGTGTCCTTGCCTTCCTCCTCCAGGGCCTTGGTGCCACTGGCTGTGGGCGAGGTGGGGGGTCTCCCTGATGGCAGAAGACCCCAACTCCCGGCCTTGTCCAGACGTAGCCAGGTTCCAGCTGGTCTTGGGGACAATCTGCGGGGCGTAGGAGCCCGTGAGATACACCAGCCTGGTTCTCCCTCACTCGCTGCCCTGGAGAGCCCAGGCCTGGACCGCAACAACCCAGGCTCCATCATCACACCTGCTCACCTCGGAGGCGGCCTGTGCGCTCCGGGCTGAGAACACCTGCTGCCCGAGGCTCCCCCACCACTGCTCCCTTCCGTGGGGAAGCGCATTCCCTTCTCTGAGATGCTCTTTCAAATGTCCTCTTCCTTGTATGTACACACCCACACATGCATGCATGCATGCAGGAGCACACCCCTGTGCATGCGTACATGCTCACAAGCACACGCCTTGTGCACACACACATGGCCCTCTGACCCAACCCCAAAGCCAAGGACACATGCTCTCGAAGCAGCTGCAAGTCGGCAACCTCTGGGTCATTGGTAACATTTTCTGTCTCCGGAAGCCCCAGGTCTCACAGTTCCCAGGACGCTAACCTCACAGCAGCCGTTTGCCCTCCCCACGCTGAGCTGGCATCTCTGATTCTTCCCTGCTGCCTCACTTGGGTGGAAGGGGAGAGATGTCCAGGGAGCGTTCTCCACCTCGAACTCTGTGTGGTTCTGGGCTGGGAACTAGGTGAGTGAGGTCCTTCAGGTCACCCCTTCCCTGTGAACCTTTGGGCAAATCATTCCACCTCTCTGGTCTTTCCCACTCTGCCTTCTCTGGGGACAGAGGGAATCAGGAGACGCAGGCAGAGGGTTTTCAAAGTTAAGGGCATGTTATCCTGTGTCTGGAGAGCTCTGGGGGGGGGGTGGGCACGAGGAAGAGCTCTGGAAGAAGGGAGGCATCATGAAGCAGCCACAGGAGGCGGATTTCTGTCTGTGGGTTCCATCTGGGAGGAAAGTGGGGTGTCAGTGTAACTGACAAAGCCAAGGAGGTGCCCTCCAGCTGAGCTTGTTGGTTTCTCTGGCAGAGAGTGGGCTCTCCTTGGTGTCCCCGAGGAAGGAAATTTCAGCTAGGGGAAGGAGAAGCTTGCCGGGATCTTGCCCGCGTTGGAGTGGCAGGGCGCTCCTTGTCAGTGAAAGTATGTTAGAATTTACTGGTCAGGCACTGGGAATCTTCAGGGACAGAGTGTAGTGGAATCGGGTAGGGCTTAGTCAAGAGGCTCCCCTCCAAGGTCCCATTCCCCTCCTTTGACAAAACCCAACGCCCCAGTGGCCAGAGCCTGGCTACAGGCAGTAGCATGGTAGCACGCCTGGACATGATGTATCTTTTTGTCTTGGGCCTGACCACCCTTCCCCACATCACTCTTCTTCTTGGGCCGGGCTGTCCACGAGCAGATGGGAGGGCCCAGGACAGCTGAATGGTGCAGAGGGTGGCAGGACCATCGCCTTCCTCCTAGGAGGCGCGGCACTTCTGAGCTTTCTCCCTGCTCAATCTCAGGTCTGGGGGCAGGGCCCTGACGGAGGGGTTCCACTGGGGATGGTCCACCAGATAACAGTGCAAAGGCGCCGGCTCCGAATCTGATTACCTGGATGCTTGGTGGATGCTGAATGCACCTGAGCCTCTGTCTCCTCACCTATGAAACAGGGGTGCTAAGAACAGCACCTTCCTCAGGAGTGGTGAGCAGTAAATGCGATGATGCCTGTAAAGCACTTGGCATGGTGCCTGGCACTTCATAATCCCTCAGTAACGTTAGCTGTTCACGTTCACTCGTCCATTCGCTCACACCTAACCTGCGTTTTTCCCTGGGCGTGGCACCACGGGACTCATGGCCCCCACCTGGGAGCTGGTCACAGACCATCTAGGGAAATAGGACAGGGCCAGGTAGGCTGTGTGTATGCTGGGGGGCACAGAGGAGGTACAGGATTATCTGATTGAGTTGGGGTCAGAAAAGGCTTTCGGGGAAGGGATGCCGTCTAACAGGAATCTTAAACAGCGAGGCAGTATCCGATGTGGGGAACTGGGGAGCAGGAAGGGTATTCCAGGCAGAGGAACAGCATAAGCAGAGGCTCAGGGGCATAAGACAGCCTGGTGTGTGCTGGGGAGAAGCAGGCTGAGAGGGGGGCCCGAGGGTTCTGTGCTGGAGCATTAAGACGAGGAGTGCTGAGAGGCAGGGGCATCGTCGTGGGGGGTTGCATTTCGTCACCTGTAGACTGGGGACGACTGTCCTCAACTCACAGGGTTGTTACGAGGACTCGAGTTCATGCCAGTACAGCACGTAGCGCAGGGCCTGGTACGTGCCGAGGTTCACCGTCGGTCGTTATGATTGCTTGCAGATGTGTGTGGCAGGAAGACTCTTCTGATGCCAAATGCATTGTGGGGGTGACACTGGCACTGGGGAGGCCATTCCATGGGATTGTGGTTGCCAGCTGCAGCCAGAGAACTGACCCCAACTTCCAGGACGCATCTCGGCAGCCTGTCCCTTCTCAGCCTCCGAGCTGCCAAGGATGAGGTGGCAGCGGCTGCTCTCCTGGGCCAGGGGGAAGGTCAGTGAGTGGGAGGGGCTTCAGGCAGGAAAGCTGGCCCCAGGGGAGCAGGGGTGGCAGAGGAAGAAGGCAGCTGCCGTGCCAACCTCTTCCCAGGTGGTGGGGCATCGGAGCCAATACTGATGTGGGGTCAAGGGCATCCAGAAAAGGCCATCCCTCTCCCTCTCCCAGTTCTTTTCTTCCTCCAGTCTCTCCCTGTCCTTCTCTTTTGTCCTCTCTCTGTGTCCATATCTCCTTTTACTGAAGCCACTCCCAGGGGCTAGGCACCCACAGGTGAGCTGCTATTGCTGACTCACCGGTAGCCATCTGCCTCTCGCCCTGAGAGCCTCCACCCTCCCCCATAAAAAATGAAAGCAGGGGCCCAAGCACAACTCCTCTAGGTGACATTCACGAAGGAAGCAGGTGGCTGTGGACAGCAGGGGCAGGATTAAGGGGCGCCGGCTCCAGCTCCGGCTGGCTGCTGCCCTGTGATGGATGAGCTCAGGGTTGCCAGAGCTCCTGACTTTTTCTAAAGCAGCTGGACATCTGGACCTTTGTGTGGGTAAAAGGGTGGAGAAAGGTAGCCACTGCATGAGGATTATGACAGGCTGAGCACTGAGGACAAGGGAGCGTCCAGTGAGATGGCACCTGCTGGGCCCGGACATCCACTCTCCTCCCCTGCCCAGGGCTTACTAAGTCACGACAGGGATGGGGGTGCCCTCGAGAAGCGGGCTAGCCTCTG